TTTTTCCATTTGATAGGTAGTTCTCTCAAGAATGCAATTCACTACTCGAGTATAAGCCTCAGGCATCAACGCGGGGCAAGGATGAGGGGCAAGCCGCGCGGCAAAAGCCCGGCAGAAATTTTGATTTAGCAGCAACATTTCGGGCTCACAAGCCTCTCCCAACTGCGCAGCGCAAAAACAAAAAAAAAGTAAACAATGGCTGACGCGTTTCTGAATTACTACCGCGGCAGCCTGCCCGCCGAGCTCGCGGCCGAGCTCAGCGAGCCGTTGAACGATCTGGAGCAGGGCAACTTCGAGGCCGTCTTCAAGCACGAGCTTGTGCAGGTGCTGCTGGGCCACCAGGACGACCATCTTACCAGCGACATCGCCCAAGACAACTACCCTCTGTGGAGTGACTACATCTTCCGCCGCATCGGCGCCCTGCTGCAAGACGCAGACAACGCCGCCTTCCGCCACCATCTTTTTTTCCTCGTCGGTCTCGCTTCTCTCTATGCTTTCCTGCAGTCCAACGTCACTGGCCCGCCGCTGCCCTTTGTCTCGGCCAAGGCCCTGCTGCCCGAGCAAGTCGTTTCCGACGCGGCCAAGCTCGCCGCAGCAAGGCAGAAGCTGGTCCTCTCGCTCGGCGTCGACGGCGAGGCCGCGTACCAGCTCACGCCCAACGTGGAGCTGTTCTGCCTCGCCGACGCCGTCATGACCAGCCCGGCCGTCGCCGGCATCAAGGCCGCCACCTGGGCCAAGCTGCGCGTCGACTTCCTGCACCAGCGCCTGCTCTCGGAGATTGCCCCGTCCCTGCAGGCTGCCATCTTTGGCGAGGTCGAGGCCGTCGCCCTCGACGTGCTGGCCGATGACACGCCCGCTGAGTTCCGCATCCCCTTCTTGCTCGAGCGCGCTACCATCTATACGCACCATGCCTTTGACAAGAAGGCTAGAGAGGACCTGGACCAGGCTGCCAAGGAACGCGGCTTTGCGTTTGCGCTGACGGGCCTTATGGGGAAGCGCACCAAGTGGCAGCAGAAGGAGACCAGTCAGCTGCTGGTCCTGGCTCGCAGTGCTGGCACTGAGGCCGAGGGCAAGGAGAAGCAGCCCGCTACCGAGTCTACAGAGGAAGCGGCTGTTCAGCCGAAGAACCTGGATTTGAACGACGACACCCTGCTCGAGTCTATTTCCTTCTCGGAAAAGCCCAAGTCGACGACGGACGTCGTCAATGAGAACGCGCTACCTGAAAGCCTTGCCTCGCTCGACCCGTCAGACCAGCCAATGCTCAACCCGCTCGACTCCATCATCCTCCTTTCTCTGGCGTCGTCCATCACCAACACTTCGCCTGCGCACGGCCTGACGAGAGAAGAGACGCTCCCGTACGCCACCCGCGTGCTCGAGGGCGGCAGCTCCAACTGGCAGGTCTACACGCAGGCTCTGCTGGTGCGGAGTCGCATCGAGGGCTACCGCTCGCGCACCATGGAGCGCGGCCTGCTGCAGCTGCAGGCTCTCGTCGACCAGATCATTGCAGACACGAGCGCCGAGGGCTCAGTGCCCACGGGGCCGGGCGGAGAGGGCTCCACCACGACGTTCCTGCCAAAGGCCAAGGAGGGCGAGGCCGCGCCCGTCAACGAGCGCCTGCGCTACGTCTTCCAGCTGGCGACGCCCTCGCGCTGGGAGCTCGAGTCGGAACTCGCGGCGCGGTGGGTCAGCATCGGCGGGCTCCGGTCCGCGCTCGAGATCTACGAGCGCCTGCAGATGTGGGCCGAGGCGGCGCTGTGCTGGGCGGCGACGGAGCGCGAGGACAAGGCGCGCAAGGTGGTGCGGCGGCAGCTGTTCCACGCTACCAACGGCAACGACGACGCGCCCGTCGACGAGGAGACGTGGGCCGGCGCCGCGCGCGACCCCGTCCCCGCTGACGCCCCGCGCCTTTACTGCATCCTGGGCGACGTGGACAAGGACCCGGCCATGTGGGAGACGGCGTGGGAGGTTTCCGGGAGCCGGTACGCGCGCGCGCAGCGCTCGCTGGCGCGGTACTGGCACTCGCGCAACGAGCTGACCAAGGCCGCCAGCGCGTACACCAAGGCGCTCAAGGTCAACCAGCTCAACCAGGCCACGTGGTTCGCGCTGGGGTGCGCGCTGATCGAGCTGGCGCAGTTCGAGCGCGCCGTCGAGGCCTTTTCGCGCGCCGTCCAGCTCGACGACACGGACGCCGAGGCCTGGAGCAACCTGGCGGCGGCGCTGCTGCGCCTGGAACCCGACGTCGCCGCGACGACGACAACGCCCTCGGCCGCCGCCACGCTGCCGGACGAGGAAGAAGACGTCGGTGTCGCCGTGGCGCAGGAGCGCCGCCCCGACCCCCAGCAGCACAAGAAGGACGCGCTGAAGGCGCTCAAGCGCGCCGCGAACCTCAAGTTCGACAGCGCGCGCATCTGGGACAACTTCCTGACGGTGGCGGCGTCGCTGGCGCCACCCGCCTACTCGGACGTCTGCGTCGCGCTGCGCCGCGTCATCGAGCTGCGGCGCGACGCCGAGGGCGAGACGGCCATCGACGCGCTGGTCCTGGACCTGCTGGTGCGGCACGTGGTCGCGACGAGCGAGGCGTACGACGCCGCGCAGCCGGGCCTGCCGCGCATGGTGGTGCGGCTGGTGGACGAGGCCGTGGTCCCGCTCATCACGGCGAGTCGGCGCCTGTGGCAGACGGTGGCGCGGCTGGCGCTGTGGCGGCGGAAGCCGGCGGCGGCGCTCGAGGCGCACGAGAAGGCGTGGCGGGCGGCGCTGGGGCGGCCGGGGTGGGAGGGCGCCAGCGCGACGGACGCGGCGCGCTGGGCGGAGGTGGTGGAGGCGACGGGGGAGCTGGCGGACGCGTATGAGAGTTTGGGTCCGATGGAACGGACGGAGGGCTTGAGTGCTGGGGCGCTGGTGGCCAAGGATTGGCGCTTTAAGGCTAGGAGCGCGGTCAAGGGCGTTATGGGTAGGGGAAGGGAGTGTTGGGAGGGGACGGAGGGGTGGGAGGAGCTGAGGGGGAGGTTGGAGGAGTTGAAGGCTGCGAGGGGGGAGTAGGTCGTGTTGACTTGCTGTTAGTTACATAAGTATACATACGTTCGTATATGGGAAAAGGTCTTAGGATGGCACGCTTCGTAGGTAATGCATTTTGGTTGTTTATTCGTTGGTAGGTACCTACCTTACCGGTGTGGGGATTGCTGCAGAGGTACATACATATGAATGAAGCTCCGCTGTTACAGTCACTAAATAACAGTTCTCCGGGTCGCAGCGACGCGGGCAATTATCTGAGAAGCGTTTTCAACCACGGGTGGAAAATAGAACGTTTCGAGCGCGTAAATAAAGTAAGCAACAGGCACGCCTTATCGCGCCGGAAAACGCCTAGGTGCACATATACCTATCCAATCGAGAAAACAGAAAACCCCACACGCCTGCCCACCAGCACGCCCCACGTCATTGTCGGGGTATCAGGAAGCCGTTGTCACAACGCCGTCAGCACCATAGTCCCACACGCCACTCCAAAGCCCTTCTCTCTCTTTTTCGCTCGCTCGCTCGCTCGCTCACAGCGTGTCCCAGAAGTACTTTGCGTAGAAGAAGCGCGAGAACTTGGGGTCGATGTTGACGACGTGGACGTCGCCCTTTGCGGCGTTGCGGATGACGGCCTTGTTGTAGGCGCCCGAGACGGGGTCGGCGTCGATGTCGATGCCGAGGGAGCGGTAGACCTTGAGCTTGAGGCTGTGCGGCGCGCAGTGTGTCAGCGTTGGCGATTTGCTTTGGGTGAAGAGAGGGAAAGGAAGGAAGACATACACAACAGCATCCTCCTCGCTCATGCCGACGCGCTCGCCGCCCTCGACGCCCTGCGCGTCCAGCTCCTCGGCCTGCGCGCGCAGCATTTCGAGCTCGGCCTCGAGGCGCTCCTCCTCGATCTCGAGGTCCGAGACGTGCTTGGCGACGCGGAACTTTTGCGTGTCGAGGCGCAGGATCTCGGCGGCGTGGGCGGCCGGGTTGTGCGCCGACGTGGTCAGGCTGTGCTGCGATTGCAGCGAACTCAGCTGCCGCGACAGCTTTTGCAGCGTCGCTTTTTGGTCGCCGAGGTGGTGCGACCGGAAGGCCGAGAGGTGCGTCTGCGACGTGCTGATTCGGGAGAGGGCGGAGCGGTCGGGCGCGATGTTGAAGTTGGTGGCGCATTGGTGGATTAGCTGGGGTGAGTTAGTGGGGGGTTTGTGTGTGTCGGTTGGGAGAGGGACATACGGTGGCGGGGTCTTCGTCGAGAAGCATGGTTGCGGTGGTATGGATATAGTATGGGTTGGTTGGTGGTGGGTGTGTTTAGGATGCGGGGAGCAAGCAGTATAGTATCTACATGGACACACAAAGTCGTGGTTGGCAGGGCGACGGTGCCACGTGCTGCATTAGAGTGTCGGTCGGACTCGGTACGTCAGCGCGGAGGGCACGTCTCTCTCTCTCTCCCGACCGGTAACCGGCCTGCAGGCGACAGAACCTATCCCGCCAGATTCACGACTCACGAACTCACGACCCCTCCCCCGGCCTTACCTCTTTTTTTCCTCCCCAGCCGTCGACGATATGCCGTCGCTTCCATGTAAGCAAAGTCCTCTCCCTGCCCGGCTCTCCTCTAGTCGGCCCTTGGCCTAACTCGCCTGACCCTCACCAGATGCCGCCGACGCGGAGAGGTGAGCTCCCGCCACCAGACACGGCGACCAACCGGCCCGCTAACCTAACCGCTGTCCGCAGTCCACTGAAGCCCGAGGAGCTCCAGGTCCTCCGCAGCCAGTACGAGAAGGAGGGCGAGTTTGTCGGCCTACAGACCAAGTTCAACTACGCCTGGGTGGGTTTATGTGCGCGCGCGCGCGCCCCTCCTGTCAACGTCGCCGTCGTCGCCCCCCCCGCTAACGCCCAATTGCTCGCAGGGCCTCATCAAGTCGAACCAGCGCCCGGAGCAGCAGGAAGGCGTGCGCCTGCTGTCGGAAATCTTCCGCAACAGCCCCGAGCGCCGCCGTGAGTGCCTCTACTACCTCGCCATCGGCAACTACAAGCTGGGCAACTACGCCGAGGCGCGCCGCTACAACGAGCTGCTGCTCGACCTCGAGCCGGCCAACCAGCAGGCCAGCGACCTCAAGCGCCTGATTGACGACCGCGTGGCCAAGGAGGGCTTGATGGGCGTGGCCATTGTGGGCGGCATCGCCGTGGCGGCGGGCTTTGTGGGCAGCATGCTCATCAGGAGCGCGAGGCGGAGATAGGTCACACGAATGCCATGATGGGGGGCTGTTGTTTATTTTTAATTTAATCCTTGGGCGTGTCTCGTTTGGCGTTGGCGGTTGTACGATAAGGTGGTGGTTTTATCAGAGTGGAAGGTTGTGGAAGGCGGGAGAAGGCAAGGCAGCGTGTGTCAGCTAGTTGAGAGGGTCGAACCTAAGAAAGAACAAACTCCTGCTGCCGCTGACCGCGGAGACCCTGACTCGCCCGGCTTGGCAACGTCACCGATTGCGTTTGTCGCCTTTTGGCTTTGGCCTTTGCTGTCACTCCCCAGCAAACACCTTCCAAGATCCACGCGACCTACCCACCTGTTCCTGTTCCTCTTCTGCTGCACCTCCTTGTCGCACCCCGCCCCAGCCTGCACCACCCGACCCCGGCGCATGATATAGCCCGACTGTCCCACACACCACCTATCGAACCTCCTGCTACTAGAGCCTCGCGACCTCACTCCACTGCCGCGCCCCATTTGTTCGCTTCGCCACTCCGAGCCAGACGTCGACGTGGTCCTTCCTCTCTTGCTCGACCATACTTCCCTCTGCGGGGCGCTTTGTACTGAGCCGACAAGCATCGCCACCCTCCACCCCACAATGGCCGACCACCAGCGTGAAATGGTCTTTTGCCATGAGTGCGAAAACGAGTGGTATCGCGACGAGCATGGCTTGGCCTGCCCGGACTGTCGCTCTGAGTTCATCGAGATTGTGAGTCGCGCTCCTTGGCCCCGCCTGCGGGAGAATCCCAGTAGCTGACGCTGTGCGCCTCTAGATTGAAGCCGAGCACGATCCCCGCGACGACCACCTCAACAACCACGACGACGAGCTAGAGGACCTCACCGCAAACCCGTGGACCGCGCCCGACCCTGATGAATCTGTCCCCAACATGCCCGCTGGCTTCCACCTCCAGCGCAACGGCCCCAACAGCTACGCGATCACAGGCACATGGTCCACGACCTTTGGCGGGCCTGGAAACAACCCAGGCGGCCAGCCTCCGGCGAACCCGCTGAACCCGCTACTCCGCAACTTCACGTCCATGATGCAGGGCATCACCGGCGCCACGGCACCGCGCAGCCCTCCGCACGGCGAGCAGCATGAAGACCAACACCAGGAGGGGCACACTGAGCCGGGTGCTGCGCGCGAGGAGACGAGGCATGGTGCCGGCCCGAGATACACGTACACGTCAACCGCCAGGTTGTTCCCGCGTGATGCGAACAGCCCCGGTCCCCATGTCCCGCCGACGGATGATCTGCATCAGTAAGTTTTTGGACTAGCGGGGCAGCCTTGCGCAGCTTTCACTTTGCTTTTTATGTGCGATGCGCAAGTCATTCATGGTTCTAACGGTTTTGTCTAGCGTAATCGCGGGCATTCTGGGCGGCGGTGCCTTTGGACCTCCTGGATTTACACATGGCGAGGGCCCGAGATACGACGATCCTTTCAGTCCTGGTGGTGGAGGCGGTGGTGGAATGCCTCGCGGAAATCCTCTTGCCACTCTCTTCGCCTCCATCCTGAACCCTCAGCTGGCTGCGCATGGAGATGCTGTCTACACACAGGAAGCCCTTGACCGGGTCATTTCACAACTGATGGACCAGAATGCCACGGGCAACGCCCCTGGTCCTGCATCGGCCGAAGCTATCGCAGCGCTCCCCAGGAAGGTGGTCACCCGCAAGATGGTGGGCGCCGACGCACCCGAGGACTGGCCCGAGGACCAACTCAAGGGCGAATGCAGCATTTGCATGGACGAGGTCCCCATTGGCGAGACGGTGACGGAACTCCCCTGTTCGCACTGGTTCCACGGAGCCTGCATCGAGGCCTGGCTCAAGGAGCACGATACCTGTCCGCACTGCAGAAAGGGTATTGAGAAGAAGGAAGAGGGCCAGGGCAACGGTGGTCCCGGCAACAATGGCTCGCCCCGTCCATTCGGCGGTTCAGGGTCTGGAGCTGGTGGATTCGGAAGCCCATCTCCCGGCGCGGGCCCTAGCGGCAACGACGGCGGCTTCGACAGTGGTGGATTTGGTAGTGGCTCCGGCAACAACGACTTCCAGACTGGCAACATGCCGAACATTCCCGGTGGATGGCAGGCAGCGACGGCACCGACGCCCGAGATGCGCCCCGATCTGAGCCCGCTGGCTAGAGCGCTGATCCTGGCGATCCAGAACCTGGAGCCGGCACACCGCGGCGACGGAGGCGCACAGATTGCGTTTGTGGGCCCTGCCCAGTATGCTCATTACCAGAACCTGCACCAGCCCAACTACGGCGCCGACGAGGACTTTATCTTGCTCCGCCATATTGTGCGGTCGCGGGACTTGCACCAGCCACAGCCGAGACAGCGCAGGCGCTCGAGTCTGAGGGGTTGGGTTGCTGGTGGTATGGGCTTTGGTAGCAGTAGTGGTGGGGACGAGTTTAGTAATCGGGAGAGACCTGGGTTGGGGGAGAGGATTCGCCGGAGTTTGTTTGGGGGCGCGAGTACGACGTGATTGGATTGGATTTGTGAAGATGGGAAGGAGTGAGTGCGTGAGTGGGTTGGTGGGAGGTGCATTGCATGAGGGTTGTCTGATTGAGTGATTGATTGATTGATGACGATGATGATGATGGATGGTTGAGGTGGATAGAGGGAGGGAAGGAGGGAGCGAAGGTGGTGTTGGTTGGTTCGCATGGGCGCGGGCGCGGGCGCGAGCGTGGGTGTGTCTAGGATGAATGAATGGATGGGGTGGGGTGTGGGGTGTAGGGGGGTTCAGGCATTTCTTCTTGATAACGCTATGGCTATGGCTATGGCTAAGCTTCTTTTTTTGCTTCTTCATTTCTCGGTTGATTCTTTGGGCATGCATGCGTGGTTTTGGCTCGTCTTTCCTCCTCGTTCTGGGACCAATTGTTGGTTGTGTGGGTCAATGATGATGGCTTGATGATGTTGATGTTGATGATGTTGGGCTGATAGATAGACTGGGCTGTATTGGATTGGGTGATTCGTGTGTGGATGTGGGTGTGAGTAGGTTAGGTGTGAATGGGGTGTGGAAGGGGGTGTATATGCTGGTAGACGAATCATACGTGATCTATACGGCCTGACGGTGCGGTCTGGTGCTTGATTGCGTGGGCTGTGCTGTATACGTGGTAGCTCTAACCCTCTATGCTTGTTTTCCTTGATTGCTTGTTTGCTTGCTTGCTAAGGTGATCGTGTCGATAAACAAGGAAGTAGATAGACAAGGAGGCAGGCGTATACGAGACACATATATAGCAGCACCCTTCTCATCGATACATTCCCTTGACAAGTGCTTAACGTTAAGCAACTAAGGGGGCTTTCATCAAGAACAGTATGGTCCAGTATCCCCCCTCCCGAAGGTTCTACTCGTTACTGAACTGAGATAACGCTTGCTTTGCTTGGTTTTCTAGACCCGGGCATGTAGGGGATGGGATGGTGTTTATCGTTAGGACTCTTTGTTGGTGGGGAGGAGCTGCGGGTGGTGTTGGTGGTGGGTACCTATAGTTCTTGTTGGTGGTGTCAGGGTACGATGTGTGTGGAAATGTTTAGTGGTTGGTGGTTGTTTAGGTTTATAGTATAGGTAGGTACGCGCCCTCTATCCGCTAAGTAAACTCGCTAGTGGTTACTAGATGGAGAGGTGTTCGGTCGCCGAACATGTTTTTTTGGGCTCTAGTGCCTGGGTAAGGCGTGTCTTATATAGACTGTTTGGAGGTAGGGCTGGATTGCGAGGCTGTTGGATGGGGGCTGAGCGGGTGAATTATAAAGAGGATTTTTGTTCATATGTATACTTAGATGTTTACTTTCTTAATTCCTTTGATCTGCTAATTCTTCTAAGTAGGGGAATGAGTGACCAAGCAAGTGAGTAACTGATCAACCAATTCGTGAGATTCCATCTGAGCGGGTTTATATACGGTAGTTCAGTGTCTGGTTGTTTAATAGTTTAGTCAAGAAATCGTTAGGGATAAGGCAGGAGTGATGATTTAGAAGGAGAGTCGGGATGGGCGATATAATTATTATATGCTGCTCTTGACCGGCACATCTACCGTACTCTTGTAAACTGTGATATATCGACCTACGCCTAAGAAACTCATTTTTTAATACACTGTTAAAGAATAGACCAGTAAATTCGTTGGCGTCGCATTTTCTCAGTACTTCTGGTATGATCATATCATGCCGATTACGCTGGCGATGATCCGAGGACTCCGATTAACACGCCGGTACTCCCTGAAATGACTACAATTGTGACAAGCTCGTTGCATCCGACTCATCAAACGATGTGGATGGAACATTACAGCAAGACGACGTCGTGTTTAGGCTCCGGCTTCCCGTGTCGAAGCAGCCAGTCAAGCCTGCGCCTACACCTGCGCCTGCGACTGTGCCCTCGGAGTGATGGAGGATGAAAGATGCTATACTTTATCAGGTATTTTGTTGATGACGAGTGACAGCGGGTCTTGTTGGTGGTAGTGGCGGGAAATGGCGCAATGGTTGTGCGTCCGCGGCTCTTGTGAGTTGTGGCTCCTCTAATATGGCCGCGACCCGGTTGTCTCCGACTCTTTTCGATTGCGGTACTATTTGCTGGCCATTGTTTGGAAGCTTGGATTAAAGACCTGTAAGGATTCAGTTATAAACAGTACTAATATCTGATAGTGAATAACTGTTATGGGGTAAGAGGTAGACCAGGATGGAGTGACTTGACTACAAGAGGAAAAGTCGTCGTCCGCGCCGGAAAGGTTCATCATCATTACTGTCGCCATCGTTGAGCTTTGGAGAGCTTTTCGGAGTAATATCTAGCACTCCTAAGTACAAGTCCGGCTCACTGCTGGATGGAAGATCAAATTTGGTGAATCCCTACCATCAACTGAGGTATGTAACTTCAGCCGCAGAGATAACGGGGGACAGTCAGCTCCATCTCACTTACGTACACACGTACAGGCGTTACCCTCTGTATCCGCTTCATTCTCTTCCCTATTTTTTACATTCGCAAAAAACAACCGTTACTTCCCAAAACCAAACCACCATAGCAGGAGTAGCAGCGGCTCACTTTGGATTTAAGATGCCACGCGATTCAGCCCAAGAAGCGGGGTATAAAGGACATGGGAAAGAACAAAGTACACTGATCGTTCTCCAAATCGTTGCTTAAGCCATCCATAGGGCAATCGCTCCCATGCGCAACGACCGCCAGACTAGCAAATGCCTAATCCCACGCTTTTAGTATCCACTGCGTTGGTACTCAAGCCGGGCTGCAAGAAGATATCACATACAACCACGATCTCCCGATGGTGACAAACAACTCCAACAACTATTGCAGACGAACAGCGTCAATGGCAACTACCATCAACAGCCAAACAGCAGACCTAAAAAACGATTTACCAGTGCCGATGGCCAAGGTGCCGTTGACCAAACCCTTCTTCACCCACAGATTCTTGACCATCATGACGCGAGACCCAATGAGCCAAGTCCAGCTCTTGGGAAGGAAACACACGTTCTGTTCCTGTCCATTCACGACGGAAGTTCTCTTCATGCAAGCCTTTTATATGGCTACTAGCAGGTACGATGCGTATGTACATGACAAATCAACTAAGACTTCAGTTTAGGTTTTAGAATGGTGGAGTGTAGTGTAGGGACTACCGAAGCAGTAGGCTCCGGGTAGTACCATTGTGGCCAGCTGCTATACCACAAAGCACCACTCGCATGTTGGAAGAAGATGTACGTACGTACCGTAAGCACCGTAAGCACAGTAAGCTTCGTGCACTCGGGAGTGAGATGTAGTCGACACTCCCAGGTGCGAACCGCGGCACACCGTGTACAAGCAACCTACAATTCTTCAAGCCAACAAAGGAACGAACAGTAGACAAAGGAGGCATACATCTCTATCTATTACATAGGTATTTAGATAGCTAAATACCTACCTACGTACCTAGCTACTTTCAGTCTTCGTTTACTTCGTATGCGCTCACACATCTAAAACAAGACCCATCTTAGCTTCAACTCCCACTCCACCCACTACCCACCACAGCCACAGTCGCGACACCCGTCTCATCTCGTCTCGTTTCAAAAAACGAGCAAAGTCACTGGTCGCGCCCAAGCCCAAACACGCGCATACGAATACGGCAAAAAGACGCACAGATCCCGCCCCATCCGGTGTAATCCCCGCCCTGTAGGTCAACCAACCTTACCCAAAGCCAAACAAATATCCCACCCGCCGCGCCGCGCCATGCAAGCAATCAAACAAGCAAGCAAACAAGCATGAAATTTCAAATCTTCAATAAAAGAAAGACGAGAGAAACGGCGAACTGGAAAAGCGAGATAGACGAGAGAAAAAGAGAAATAGAACAATAGAAACACCGCTATGCATTGCTAGCAAGTCGAACGGAACCGGAGACGAAAACGAGAAAGACGATTTTCGAAACAAAGAGAGAGAGAAAAAGAAAATTGATTATGAATCCAGCTGGATACTTGACCCGAAGACCTGCAACAATGAATGCTTATACAGGTCTCTCCACGAGATCATGCTCTGCTCTTCAACTGCTCTAGAAGACGGCACAAGGAAACAGTAGGTAATCCCGACGTCGTGGCCAGTCCATAATGTAAACCGGCGCATCTTCCGTATTACACAGACGTATGCATGCGTACTCCAAGTCAATCTTGCTGACGGTGCAGTCTGAGCTCTAATTGGAATAGTCGTGCCGCGTTACTTCGTTGAGATGAATCGGAACTTCTAAGGAAGTCCGATATTAAGAGGTACGTATTTTCTTTTTAGTGGTCAACGGTAGAAAGTTTTAGAGACGCCCGACGGATACTCCGCTTTTACATTCTTGCCTCGTAGCAACAACGCCAGCCTGACAAACTCGCCATCGTTTCCAGAGGCGAGAAGAATCAACAGCTGACATTCGTTTCCGACTAGCCTGATCAGGCGCTAAGATGATGCGTAGTCGGAGGATCGAAAAGGCGTAAAACTTGATGTTGCAGCTTTCTAGAACCAGTGTCGGGGAGGCTCAACCCGCTGCAGGCTTGAGCATAAAGAGATTCTTGGTCCGGATAGATAGACCTGCTGACAGGACGGCCAACCAAGATGCAGACAACCGGAAACGCGTCTCGCTGTGGTTCCTTGGAAGAGTTGCAGAATGTCGTAATGCGGACGTGGCAAGCCAGAAATAGGTTAGGTAGTCGCGGCGCCACGCGCTGTCGCTCGGCAAAAGTGAACCGATATAGCCGCCCTGCCGTCGGAGCCTGAAAACAGCCGACACGCAGAAAAATGTTATACCCTTGACGGAAGAAAAGAAGAAGATGGTATTCTGGGGGTATAATAATAACGATTACAAAGACGTAAAGAACACAGGATGAAGAAGAGGGTGCTACCTGGTCACCTTTTCCACGATTCTTAATGTGGACACAGCAAAGGTGAATAACCAGGTGACGAGCGAAACGAGGATCACGGCCGTCAGCGCCTTCTGCTTACCGCAGACAGCAGGGTCATAACAGGTCCGTTCTTGTTGCGTAAGGTCGGCACTTTGAGTGTTGACGCATGCCCAATTTGAGTCAGTTAACGATTGGAATGCCTGATTCACAAAAAACATCTGTTAGATCAGTCCGTTCCCAAATATCACGAGCAAAACCACAGGAATGACCTACTATACTCAAGTTGGCAGAGTCGAAAACTATGAAGGCCAAGTCAAGGAAAATGAGCCTCAATTTTTCCGTAGGATCTCGTAAGCCCAACGGCTGAGCTGCATATTCGTCATATGTGACATAGCACAGATAAACGATAGCAATTGCATCGACAATAATGGCCAAGTACGTCGAAGAGCCGGCGCTGCAGTAGTTGCGGTGGGTGAGGTGGAAAATACGGCCGGCAAGTCCTAATGCGGCGGCGGAAAAGACGAGGACGTTCATACGGATAATGAGAGGAACATAGGGGCTGCGCATGACGGTTTTCTACGTGGGATTTAGAATCGATATGCTCAATCGCACGTAGCACATGTGAAGGGCGCGCCACAGGACATCTTACATGGAGTTTCGAGAGCCACCCCCGCTTCTTCTTGGAGATTTGCTTTTCCAGTTCGGATTGGTCAGGCTCGGCAGGCTCCCACGGCGCGTCGAGGTCGCCCATGTTGTTCATCATCCATTCGCGCGAGACGATCTCCGAGTGGCCGGTCGAGGGCGGGTGGTACTGTGACGCAACGGCAAAGTTGCGCCAGCGAGAGGCATTATCGCTGAGCGGCGAGCTGGGCAGCGGAGGGAGGCGTTCGCGAGCATAGTCGAAGCGGCGGCCGGGCGCGGCATTGGGCCGCGGGGAAGGGAAGGAGTTGTGTGAAGCCGGGCGGACGCTGCACGGAGTACGGGGTAACAAGGCCTGGCTGGAGGGGTCAAGGTCGTCGGAATCCTCGACGCTGCGCACCCAGGCTGCCGCGAAAAATGTCAGGCTTAGCGTTGCTGCAAATTGCGCACGGGATTATTTACGTGGTATAGTCCGGGGGGGTTCGTCGTGACCAACGGTCATGGCGGACGTGCCGGTACTGCGGTGCGACATCCACGACAGTGGGAGCGAGGGTAGGGCGGGGTCGCGAGCGAGAGGCGTGAGAGAGAGGCTCCGGCCGGCAGAGGGAAAGGTAATGATGGCCCTCGGGGGGGCTGGGAAGAAGTGAGAAAGTCGGGGCCTGAGGCGCACCGCCGGCGGATCGAAGTTGCTTGTCGCAGATCATACGCGCGAGCCAACCGGGAGATTGCCCAGGCAATGACGTTTTTGGCGAAGCGAGACACCGGAAAAGTCGCGTCCGCCACCTGCACAACCCCGACATCTCCCCCGCTGCTACCATGCGCCTCTTCCTGCTGCCAATCTCCACGCGGCGCACCCTCATCTATTGCGAGCGCAAGACCACCCACCCCGGCGGCCAGAGCTCCTACCTCGACAAGGCCATCGACAAGACCAGCCAACTCTGGTCCAACTGGGAGAAGACGCCCCACGACCAGCCGCTGTGGAAGGGAGGCTGGAAGCGCACCGTCACCGTCCAGGGCAACCAGATTCTGCGCCGCATCCCTTTCCAAGAATGGGGCCTGAAGACGATACCACCCCTTACAAAGGCCCGCAAGGAGGCTGAGCTCGAGGGCAAGGAAAAGATCGAGATTGTCTTCCCGGGCCTATTCTTAAAAGAAGAGCGCGTGGGAGGCATTCTGCAGCAGCTGGCTACTGAGCGGCAGTCTCTGCACAAGAAGCGGCTATGGTGGAGCATCGTCGGAATGCCTATTTCCGCCCCGTTCGCCCTCATCCCCATGTATGTGCCCACACGGCGGTCAGGGCGCACGCAAAAGGCTAATTATAGTACAGAATACCGAACATCCCTTTCTTCTATCTCGTCTTTAGAGCGTATTCGCATTGGAAGGCGCTGTCGGGCTCGAAACACCTCGAATTTATCATGAACAACAGTCTCATCAAACACAGTCCCTCGCGTGCGCTGGACGAGGCTTATGCGGCGGGGCTCATTCACCCAACGCGGCAACATTCGCGAAACGCACAGGCTCCCAGCAGAGAGCAGGCCGAGGAGGTCGCGCAGATCGTTCACAAGCAAACGAACAACGAGACGGAGGACGTGATGATGCTGCAGCGGTGGAACGGGAAACTCCTGGCCGAACGGTTCCAGCTTCCGGAAATGGAGGTTGAGATTGAGCGTGCGGTGGAGCAGGTCGAGAATTCGATCAAAGCAAAGGAGGAGTTGAAAGAGGAAAAGGAGGAAATAGAGCGGGCTACGGAGTATCCCGAAGATGGCACCAAGCCCCATAAGAAGGATTGAGTGATGGATGCTTGGGCCTGTTGTATATTAAAGTCTGTGCGGGCACAGGCTTCACGACTGATGTGTACGACGTACGTGCTGTGTATGTAGTAGGTATGTATATGAGTAGCCGACTGACTCTTTGTCTCTATAAAAATTAGATTTCCTTATGACCCATGAATCCTTCACCATTGTTTTATTTTATTTTTTTCTTTACAAAGCATTGTATCCGCCATCGACCTCGACGGCAGAGCCCGTCATCCACGTGTTGTCCTCGCTAGCCAAAAATACGGCTACCTTAGCTACGTCGTCGGGGAGGCCGAGCCCGCGGAAAGGGTAATTTCTATCGTCTGTGAAAATTGTTTCGGTCATAGGTGTCCTGAGGTCTGCGTGATGATCAGATCATGCTCCTTCGGCCTTTGCTCGTTTCGACAAACTTACACCCGGGACATATAGCGTTACAGTGGACTCTAAACGGCGCGCAGTCCAAAGCAACGCTTTTCGTGAGGCCACTGCACAAACACTCGATGTCAGCTCTACAAGCACCCGCCACAGTCAGGTCACGCCGGAACACTCACACGACAGCGTGCTTGGACGCGGAATAAATCGCTACGCGCACACGAACCATCAGCCTCTGTCTTACACACGTGGGCCCGCGCCCCAGCACTGTCCCCGCATATAGTATAGTCCCCCAATGACAACAACGACAGCAACTCACCAGTCGACTGCTTCCCGTGGAGGCCGTACGCGTCCGCTATGTTTATAATCCAGCCCCGGTCGCCGCTCGGATGCGGGTCCTGTTTTATCATCTGCGCCGCCGCGTACTTGCACCCCAGCATGACGCCGCGCGCATTAACCGCAAACGTCTCGTCCCACGTCTCGACGTCGGCCTGCCAGATGGGCCGCGGATGCAACAGGTCGCCCGGCACGCCCGCGTTGTTGATATATCTGTCGTGCCACACTTAGCAACAGCTCAACCAGCTTTGCTCCCCATATCTCCTTCCCTTCCCCACACACCACAGAACCAGGACAAGTTAGAAGGGGAAAAAAAAGAAAAGAAAAAAACCTACATATCAACCCTCCCAAACTCCGACACAGTCCGGCGAATCAGATTCTCCATATCAAAATGCGACGTCGCGTCCGTGCGGACGAAGCGCGCGCGCCCCCCGTTCAAACTGATAGCCTTGGCGGTGCTGACCTTGCCATCGACCGACTCCTGCAAGTCCGCGACTATGACCTGCGCGCCCTCGCGGTGGAACGCCAGCGCGATGGCGCGGCCCAGCCCCGACGACGCGCCCGTTATCACGGCGACTTTGTCTTCGAGCCGCTTCGAGGGCGACATGGCTTGCGACGGAGGTTTTGTGTGCGTGGAGGTAGGTGGGCGCGGGAGGGAGTCGCTGGCGGGGGCGGTGGTGGGCCTGGCGGCGGGGGCGACGGTGGTAGTAGTTGCGACGGCGGCGGGCGAGTCTGTCTCTGCCTATGTAGGTCCGGCTCGAAGCTTGTAGCTAGGTGGGTACGGTAGAAAGCAAGCGGCGTTGCGGTAGGTCGTAGCACGCTCTCGTAGCGCAGCGGGACGTAAACGGCGAACGGCGGGCCGACGAGCAGGCGACGAGCGCAGGTAGATACTGTAGCAGTAGTGCGTGCAAACCAAAAAATCAAGACAAGACGCAGACAGACAGACAGACAGACAGACAGAATAAACAGACAAGGCCAGACGGAGCGGCGCATGGGAGAGAAGCGCCACCTATATAAGGAGCGTCCCACGTCCCAGCAAAGGCAGAGCGGCGCGCAGCGCGGCCCTGCGCCATTTCAGCCCAGTCTGGCTCCGCGCCCACAAAAAAAAAACGCCCACCTGCCTGGTCGCGCGCTGATGACACGGCCAACAATGGCCACGGTTGCTCCTCCTCAGGGGGGGCGGACTTCCTCCCCTTCCTCACCGGGACGCTCCTCCTCGACACCGGTCTGTCTAGCCGTGTATGGATACATGGCAGCCCCACCGAGCGCGCCCGTTCATCTCCCCCCGGCTGTCTAGACTCCCACAGCCCTATCTATCCCTGGAGCAGGCACCTAACTGTACCCACCTAGGTACAGCACGCTTCCATCCCGCTCATCGCAGCTCTTGTGTGTGCATGTGCATGTACGTCATACCTACCTACCTAGATTCGAGAAACAGCTCGCGCGCGCGGTGCCGGATCGGCGCGACTCGGGCGCGCCCCTAAGGAGTAAGCGAGCGAGCCGGCCGACGTTCGCGCGGCTGCTGCCCAGGAGCCCTTCCCGAAGGCCCCTCTCGGATCGGCAAACCGCCAGTGGTTCTGTGGCGGACGCGCCGCAAGGATCGAGCTGCTGGCGCCGGGAAGAAGCGAGAATGCGGGGGAGGAGTCTGTACTTGTCCAAGTGCTGGATGGTCAGGAGTCAGGGGCTCTGGCCTGCCTTGCTAGGTACTGCCCAGGGGGGCCCACGCTGTTGGTGCTACTTTTTTTTGTGCCCTGTTTGACTGCGGCTCTTCGCCTGACTGACTGTATCGCTACCCGGAGCAGGAAATTGCCTTGTGAGAAACCCCGTTTCATATTCATTTCGTGACTCGTAAGCAAACGATAGCGACCGAACGTACGTCCAAGCTAGGTAAGAAAGGAAAAAATGCCAGACCGCGCTCTCTGCTCTTTCCGAGGCACGCGGCTCAATGGAGCCCACCTGTGCAGCAGCCATTTTCTGTCATCATCATTGTCATTGTCATCTTCATCTTCGTCCGCTTAAACGTCAATGCCCTCGACCGTAACGCCCTTCTGCCAATCATACTGTATAGTTTTGGCGACCTCGAGAGCCGAATCATGAGACACCATCGCACTCACCAAATACAGGCTCGCATCGATGCCCGCCGAGACACCACCAGCAGTAATAAGGCGCAAGCCACCAAGCTTCATCGATGCGCGCCTAATGACAGACTCGCGACGACGGCCGTCCTTCCAGGCATCGCTGCCCTTACGAGCAATCGACTTGCGGCGACCATCCGGCCGCTTCTTGAGGATGAAGGGGTTTTCGTCCTCGTTCTCGCCCAGCGCAAACCGCGCGTTGTTCACGACGTAGCGCTCCTCCATGACATTGGTGCCTTGCAGATCGCCCTTGCGCGCTGCCTCCTGGCACAGAATCTCCAGCTGCGTGTAGTAGAACGGGTGCGTCGTCGCTGACATGCCCTGCAGGACGCCGGCCTGCGCCAGGAACAGCGACCCCGTGCACACGCTCAGCAGCGTGCGCTCCTTGCTGGGGTCTTTCTTCTGCAGCTCCGCGAAGGCTTTGATGAGCTTCATGGGCTCGTTGTTGGCTTTAAGGATGGGCTCCGTCCCGCCGCCCGGCACAATCATCACGTCGAAGTCTGAGAGGTTGTAGTGCGCTTCTTCAAAGTCCATGTTCGCTTTGATGGTCACGCCTTGCGCGGTGACGGCCTGCTCGTTTTCGGCCGCAAGGACGCAGTTGAAGGCCCTGGTTGTAGCTGCCCAGTTGTCAGCGCTTGGTGATGGAGATGACTAAACTCTCTGGAAGTAAAAGAGCCGGCTATGTTTCCGGGTCGGGGTGCAATGGCATCGAAATAGGTGTTGCTTACAGTCACGTTCGATGTTACCACCGGTGTTGTGTCGGGCCCAGCTCAGGGTCTCAAGCGGACCCGTAAAGTCCAACGTGTCCATGCCCTGATGGAGGGCAAAGAGCACCTGGATCTTGTCCGGTCTGTCGCTGGCCTCTGCAATTACAATCGCACTCATATTGACAGTCAATGAAGTGGACCAGTAGTTGATTTGCGAATTGGGGTGTTGGGATTTTGGGGAATCAGCAAGAGAAAATGAAGTGTGGCACGGAGAGCGGGGAGCTGCCGAAGCGGGAGCCCGGGGAGAGGAGGGCCCTTTCCCCACAAACGCTCTGCTTCCCCGCACTCTGCTTAGCGCCCGTTGGTCACTCCCCCACGCCCCCCTGCTCCACAGATCGCCGCCGTATCTTGTTGATCAGAAAATACTGGTGCCATTGGTATCGAGAGCTCGGTTTCAATCTGCCCCCAAAACCCCTCCTTCACCTTCTCAGCAGCTCCTGGACAAACGCGAACGACGACCGCAATTCTCGGGCTAGCAGCGTCCACTGCGTCCTGATCCCATAAACCACAGCCACAACCGAAGCGCCGCCTAGCAATCCCAGCAAAGTCAAGTCCCAATTCCTTGCGCGCCAAGCCGACATCCTCATATCCGCCGTCTCGAGATGCATCGGCCTGCGCCGCTTACTGAACTCCGCCGTCGACGCGCCCGCACCTGGCACCTCAAGGCTAAAGTGATGGTCATACATGACTTCCTCGATAAGATCAGCACCATGGTGCTTCTTCCTCGCCGAGACGCGCGCAATGTGTCGCATGCGCGTCACGTTCTGCGCGACCGTGCCGCCCTCGTCGCGAAGGATCCAGCGCATCTTGTCAATGACTTCTTCTGTCGAGAACCCCAGTTTATCGAGAGCTAGACCGACGTCCGCGTCCGTCAGTCGCATGCCGTTTTGCGTCTGGTCGAAGTAGAAGCCGAGCGTGAGCATGGGCGTGCCGTGGAAGAGACCTTCATTAGCGCTCGAGCCGCCACCATGACTGAGGAAAAGCACCGTGTTCTCGTGCTCCAGGATGGCGCGTTGAGGCGCAAAGGGTGTGAAGAGCCATGACGGGTGGTTGTTGTCTACAAGGTCCCCTACTGTGTGTTCTTCGCCGACTACTCCTTCACTGCGATTGAATAAGCCCATCTGAGTCTCGTTCGCGGCCCAGATCACACCGTCAATCAGTCCGTCACGCAGAGTCGTGGTTATTGCCGTAATGAACTTGGTAAGGTCCGGCGGCAGAATGCGGATGTGCGTCCCAAACGCCACATAAAGGACTCTGCTATGCGTGTTGTAGAAGCCAAGGAAGCTCTTCTCCAACGGAGGATACTCTTCAGAGAGGATAGGTCCAACAGCAGCAACCAGTGGCGGGAGGTCCTTCGGCGTCTCCAAGCCCCAGAAGGAATTCACAAGGATCAAATAGTTTGGCTTATTGAGCACGGGGAGCATATAATGCACGCCCGCACCATCGCGCATCTTCTTCGTGAACCTCAGGAACCGAAAAATAGCAGGCAGGGCCCCAAGCGGCCGCAACTCAGCGCGCAGTCTCGTCCACAGCGACGCGTGCTCGCTCGTCAGCGCATCGAGCTGGAAGCCCGGCATGCCAGGGATATACGAGACGTTCAGCATGCCATACGGCATCTGCGGCCAGACAACCGCAATCGGAATCCCCAACTGGATCTGGACGTCCCTGGCGGCATCGACGAAGAAATCAGCGACGATGATGTCGGGCCTGCACGCGGGGATGACCTCGTGCGTCAGGTGCGCGTAGTCGGCCGCCCAGAAGCCCTCGACCGTGTGCATGGGGCGCAGCCACTCGTCGGCGTCGACGCGCATGTCCGACTGCTGCATGCGCAGGTAGTGCGCGTCGGAGGCTGCGGGCGGCAGCGACGCGCCCATGGTGTGCGTGCGCGCTACAAAGCTGTAGTCTGCGTCTTGCGTCCATTGCTCTTGCCCTTGGTGCGTCGCGAACTCGATCCGGTGCCCGCGTGCTGCGAGGATGCGCCCTAGTTCCAGGATCGGCGCTGCGCGCTGTTTAGTATCTGTGGTTTGGGGGCTGTTGCTGAGTGTGAGATGGTCGTACCGGCGTGGGTGAATCCGCCGTACCCGACGACGAGCAGTATTGTCATGGGCATATTGGTTGTGGGTAAGAATAGTAGATGGAGATGGGTTAATGTTGTTAGGATAGGTGCGCGCTATTTGTGCCAGTTGTGATGGAGAACTATAATCTGACAAGAAGGCGGTTGCGAGGTGGACTGATCCTAATCCCTCAGCTCACTAGTTAACGGTTGCGCCAAGGGTGGCGGTGCAGTCATATGGGAGTTATAGAGCGCAATGATTGTAGCTGGACGGACAATGGAAGCACAAGGTGACGCAGATATAGAGCAAATCTCGTGATATCCAGGAAACAAGGGTCCAGTTCCGGGAAACCAATCACAGAAGCTGGAGTGAGCCGATCGATCTACCACATACAGTACATCTACCAGATCTGTCACCCGGAGCTTTGAATCCTCACTAGTAGATATATAGGCCACCAGCCCTGTCAGCACCAAGAGTATTTTACCGCTAGTACTACCAAAACCTCTCCAGGCGCCCATAGCCAAGGCATGCGCAGCAGGCCACTATTCTGTCAATTTAGCTGCGCTAATTACACCGGACAGTGCCTACGCACCGGACAGACACCACCATGACACACCATACGCTGATGAAGATGGATAAGTATTCGATTGGTCTAGCGCACCTAGGTACCCACTTCTTCCCACCTACCGCCCGCACACTAGAGACAGTCTCACAACACCAACCACTCTCACAAACACCACTGTTACAACCCCACCTATTAACCATCCATCAAATGCAGCTCCGGCAGCCGTCCCAAAAAGCCGCCCATGCGAATCAGAAACAGAACTCCGCCGTCATGATTTCCTTGCTGCCGAAGGAATGGGGAGCGTCATATAGCCCGCAAAACGGGGCCCCGTTCGTAAAATGAGCAGCCGGTCGCCACCTGCCGCAGGAAGAAGGGTTGTTGTGTTGAACAAAGAAGAGATAAGATTACATGCAGATAAGATGCGAAGCCGCGTCGCGCGGTCTCGGCGCCTTTGATTGCTCCCTTTTCTCGACCGGGAGTGGGCACTGAGACCGGATGTCGACAGAAGAACAAGATCGGGTGTTTACTGATAGTTGTAAATCTTCTTACCGTCTCTTCAGCTCACCAGACAGGTATTCGAGCACCTATTTCACCACGTTAGCGGGGGATACCAAGTCTTTCTCATGCGTCAAAATAGTTCCCACTCACCTGCTGCGGAATAACTCCTTGGTTGACAAGATGCTTGCTCAACCCCTTGACCACCTCAATCTGCTGCGCGGGCGTCAACCCGTTGATTGCCGTCTCGATGACACCACCGACGCTGGCCTTGTGCACAGCAATGAAGCTCGAGTAGTACATGAAGGAGAAGAAGCCCATGATAAACTGGCAATCCATGCGGTCCGTCATGCCGCCGTGGCCGGGAATGGAGTCGCCAAAGTCCTTGATCTTAAAGGTGCGCTTGAGACCGGACGCGAAGAAGCCGCCGAATGGTGCAATGAGCGAGGCGAAAGTCGCAAAGACGAGAATATGGAACTGCATCGGCGCGATGGTTATGGTGCTGGGAATGTGCGTCCAGTGAGGCGGGACCATGGGGAGTTGGTACGTGTGGGGAATGAAGACGGGGTTGACGTCGCACTGGAGACCAGTCCAAAGGTTTGCACCGAGATCCTACGCTAAGTTCAGCACTAATTCGTCACTGGGAGGTTGTGTGTCTCACGTTGACAGGGCAAATGAAGTACTTGGACCGCATCATGATGTTGGTCAAGCCAACGCCGAACAGAATGGTGAAGATCCAGGCTCCGACGAAACCCTCAACCGTCTTCTTGGGCGAGATCTTGATCAGTTGCGTCCTGCCAAAGGTGATACCGCAGATGTAAGCGAAGATATCGTTGGTGATGACTAGAGACACAGGCAAGAAGAACCAGATCATGCCCTCGAAGATGTTGTTCATGATAAAGTGGGCCTGGACCACAATGAGGTAAAGAGCCATGTGCGTCCACGCAAATTGGGTGAATTGGAATTTGTAGTGGCCTTTTTGGAGGGAACCAACAAAGAAGACGAATCCTGCAGCGTATTAGCAACGGAGAGCCATGTGAGAGGGGTGAAACAAACCAGTCACGTAGAGCATGAAGCTGATGAAGCGGTGGTGCGTCGCAAACGGCAAGAGGACCTTGTCGACGAGAATGATGTGCTTGAAGTAGTAAATGACACTCTCGCCATAGAGGAAATACATGGTGGTGCCCAGGAAATACCAGTTCAGGCTTTTGGTGAAGCGCAAGCTCCGGGCGCGACTGGGGACGTTGGAAATGGCAATGACTTCCTTGAAGGAGATGACTTGGACAGCAGTGACAATGATAATGATGTAGATGTGGCCGGCGAACATGGAGCCAAAGAAGGTGGCGATCATGATGAGAGTCCATATGGTGCGGGTGATGAATGTCTGTTTCTTCTTCTCATAGTCGGATTGCGGCGGCGGAGCTTGCTTCTGCTGGGCGGTCAGTCAGCGTGGTCGCGCGCACACAGGGCGCAATGCACCCACCTCTGGCTGCGACAGGGTGCCGTCCTTGTTGGGGCTTCCGGCGTCTGACGCCGTCTCGCTGATTTCCGACATGCTCTGTCGCCGCCCCTTACCGCTGCTGCCGCTGCCCCGGTGCTCGCGGTGCTGGAATTTGACGTCTCTTCTGGGCTTCGTCATGGTCGCGGAGTGTTTGCGCGCGCGTGGGTCGCGGGGGTTCCGGGCTCTTGCAGAATTGTTCCGGCGAGCGTCGTCGGCGTGGTGCCTAGTCGGGCGGCGCTCTCAACGATTTCGCACGAGCGGGCGCGGTCGGCGCAAAGCCGTAGACAAGATGGGTGGGAGGGTGGAAGGTGAGAGGATGCGACGCAGGCGCTGTGAGGGAGGAAGAATGCAGGTGATGTGATAGTAGAAGAAGAGGAGGGAAGAGTCGAGAGAGAGAGGGAGCCTGTTGTTGTTGCGGAGACGATCTACGTCAATGGGGCCAAGCCTGGAAAAAGTGCAGCACCTGCGCGTCGGACATGTGAAGGTAAGGCCGACCTTCTGCCATCATCAATCACACCGCGCCCCATGCTTCCGTTGCTCCCGCTGCTCCCGCGCCCATCATCACATGGCCGAAGACGAGTATACCGATGACGAACTGGACGACCTCTCCGCAGACCAACTGCTCGAGATCGAGACCCTGGCCTTTACCGCCACCCAGCAGCCCACCGTCTCGCCTCATTCAACGCCGCCCTCCGATCATGGCGACCAAGTGATCAAGATCGAAGAACAACCTGCGAGTGCTGTTTACAATGGCCTTCAACAGACTCAGACTCAAACTGCGCCGCACCCCGACCACAGCGGCCAAGTGACCAGTCTCGACGAACAGTCTGCGAGTGCTGTTCACAATGGCCCACAACAAACTCAGACTCAGACTACACAGCCGCCACGGGCTCTTCCGCTCCGCGGGTCCCTGGACACCATGAGCGTAGAAGATTTGCAGGCACGCGTCGAACGGGTAGGTAGTTTGTCCCTCACCCTCCGGGGCGCGCGACTGACTTTGCGCAGATTGAGAGTGATTTTCGCGAACTGTCGACCGCATACGAAAAGAGTAATGGCGCAGTTGGCGTCCTTCGATCCAAGCATACCAGTTTGACGAAGCAGTTTGAGCATAGAATTCTCATGTTGAACAAGGAACGCAACGAACTCGTTGCCAAGCAAAAGGCCGAGCTTGCTGCCTGCAAACACAAGGAAGAACAGTCTAGAACGAACAATCTCTTCATGGAACAGGACATTGTACGCGAAGCTGGCCGGCCGAAACAATCTCGTAGGGTCCAGAAGGACAACGCTGGCAAAACGGTGCGAGGAACGGCTGCCACCACCCCGAAAAAGAATCGGACTGCCCAATTTGGCGATGGTTTTGCTTCTGATGATGTTGTTATGGTATCGCCCAGCAAGGCGCGGCACAGATCGAAGCCGTCAACGCCAAAGCATGGAGCAAAGAGGAAACGCACGGCTGGAGAAGCTAGTCCAAGCAGAACTCTTCCCTTGAGCGAGCCGGCAGAGCCAGTCCAGATCAATGATCCCATGAGCATAGACCTGCCGGAGGATACCTACGGCGCGTTCCTAGAAAACGTAGCAAAAGATGATGATAAGTTCAAGGTAAACGTCATTTGTCAATTCCTCCTCAGACGTGCACTCACTGGTACAGTTCCTTCAAAGGCTTATGAGGCACCGGCCGTTCGGACAGAGAGAGACAACCTTCGAGGCGTTGACGAAATATGCACTTCCTTCCGAGCCCACCCGTTTGCTGTCATCGACTGTTTATGACAACTTGGCACGCTATCGCGGTGATGCCGAGGGGTTTGCGATGCATTATTGTCATGTTCTTGTGTCGCTGTGGCAAGATTGCTTGCGAGAAAGGTACTTTGCGCCGGTGCGCTTCTTTCTCGACAGTCTGCAGTTTGTCCTGGCATTCTTGCCTCTCGAAAAGACAGCATCCTTAGCAGAGGAAGTGGTCCCTGTGGTGCAGAGCACTGCCGACCCAGTGTTGCCTCCTGAGGGAGAAGCCGTGAAAGACTCGTTGATGCTCAAGAACCTCGATGTCCAGAATCTCGATGTCCAGGACCTCGACATCCTGAACCTCGACGCCGGCCCCCAGAGCGAGCTGCGCAAGAACATTGACTTGCTAGAAAGCATTTCCTTACTACTCACAATCGCGCGCAGCTGCGTCGGCTCGTACGAGGCGAAGGCGCTTTTCTGGCAAAAGATGAACGAACACGTTTGTTTAATAACGCTGTGGACAACTCAGCCGCTCCCCGTAATCCAGGCAACGCTCCAGCTTCTCAGCACGAGCCCCACAGACACGACCTTCGGTGCCATCATCGCCCACGCAGACCCCGAAAAAGCCGCCAAAAAGCAAAGTGAACAAGAAAACGAGCTCATCAACCGGTTGATCACTCTCCTCCGGCACCCGCCTACCGCCCCCTCCTCCAACTCCAGCACCAGCACTAGCAGCGCCCCGTACTCGGCAACGACAATCGCGGACCTGCGCCTCTCGACCTTGCAAGCCCTGACATCTCTCCTCCCGCACAAACACGGCGTCGTCCTTCTCGCGAAACACCCCGCCTTTCTAGGTAACCTCCTCCACATGCTCAACTCCACCATCGCTACCCTCTACTCCACCGCGCCGCACACGCCGCTGCACAGCGCCCTCACGCGCGTCATTAACATTGCGTGCCGCCTTGCCCACGCCGTGCTATGTACGTATCCGGAGGCCGCGGACCGACGTTCGCTCCTGGCGGCGGTGCCGGGCGCGGGCCACGCACACTTGGTCGGGTTGACGCGGCTGGCGTTTGCGGAGGAGAAGGGTGCGCTGGAGCGGGGCTGGGAGGACGAAGTTGTGAATATGGCGCATGCGCTTTTGGACGAGTATTTGAGCCCTGATGAAGGTGATGCGCTGATGCGGGTTTTTGGGAGCGGGAAGAGTGCGTAGAGGTGAGGAAGGTAGGTCTGGTGGGGTGATGGATGGGTGGATGAGCGGGACACAAAGTCCGACTGTCGCCTTTGGCTGGTCAGCTGGCTGGCTGGCTGGGTAAGTGCCTCTTCGAACGATTGATTGATTGATTGATTGATTCGTTTAACGTCTATATGCAGTCTGAGACTATGACGGACGGTTCTATCTAAAGAACTAACTAGGGGG